CCARCAGCACTAGACATGCCTCCCACTCTCTCAGCAACTCCAGCAGAAAGCATGCATCTCTTTTCTCTAAAGTCCCTGTTTCATCAAAAGTCCCAGAACTGAGTCCCACCAGCTCTGACCAGGATGCATACCCTTCTCTGAACTAACATCTGTGCTGAAGGAGATGGGATATTGTGATCTGTCGGGCCTGCGTCACATGTCCTTCTCTGGAACTGGTGTGGAGACAGCGGGGATTGAGAGTAGGGAATGGATGGCTTCATCAGGAACGCAGGAGGAGCAGGTTACAAGGAGGCTGTGTTAGTCAAGGGAAGCCACCTGTCACAATAAACAACCCCCATGTCTGCCACCCAACACAGTAAAATGGGAAATTCTGTTCCTAYTGTTGGCAGGCACAGAGCTGGTAAGGACTCTGTCACCCTCAACAGGGGCTCCCAAGGACACCCTAGGTGATGACATGCAGCAGACAGGCTGGGGATAAAGCAATGATCGTGTTTTTTCTGATGCAGGCCTGAGAGGGGAGCACGTGATTCTGTTGGCCAGAATCCCACAGCCCAGCCTGGGAAGAGGGGAGACCGGAGCTAGRGGGGTGTGGGAGGAAGAGGGAGCAGTGTCCACTGCAAAAGGGGAACGAATGGGTTCAGGGGAGGCAACACAGGGTCCCCCTGTGCTTTCTACAGCCGAACTCCTTTGGTCCTCTTGGTCAAGCGTTCCCTGCATGTAGAGCRTTGGCCCAGGCTGCCCAGCTGGGGTCTCCCTTATGATGGCCTGGACTCCAGCCTGCCCTCTGGCCCTTGCTGCACCCCTACYCCAATCTCCTTCTGATCCTGAAGTGCTGATTCGCTCAGGGCCTCCGGGTCAGCTGATGAGCCCACACGTGCTCTGAGGACAGGCAAGGGCCACAGAGGGTGAGAGGGGACAGGTCTGGCCCAGAGACTGGCCGGAACTGCAGGCCAGCCCCCTTAATCCATTTCAGGTGTCCTTTTCCTTGACTGAAGCATCTTCTTTTTCTCCTTAATCCTAGTTCAGGTTGAACAGCGACCAGGAAGGGAAGCTGACCCATTACTTATAAACAAGTAGCATCCTGCTAGCTGAAGGCTGGGGCTGGGAAYACCGTGGCCAGCAGCAGCTAATCCTTCCCTGGCTCTCTCATTCATTCACAGGAGTGCTTACTGTGTGCCTGGCACTGTGCTGGGTGCTAAGGAGAAAAAGGTTATCTGAGAAGTAGAAGTTATTGGACTTGATCTAGTCTAAGGCAACCAGGCCTTTGTAAGTTGAATAACCGGAGACGAGTTGCTTCTAAGGCTAGCTGGAGTTGAGTCTTCCAACGTGGTGTGGAGACATCAGGGATTTGAGATGGGGCATGAATAACATATTTGTTCCAAAGACCAGGTACCTGGTCTCCTTACTCCAGATCTATTTTAGGAGACTTCTGGATAAAACGATAATAATCAGGATCGCAGGAACCACCACTTACTCTGTACATCGGGCTAAATAAATGATCTAAATACGAAGCCTCACTTCATTCTTCCAACCACCCAAGATGTCACCTTACCCACTCCCTGGAGTCGTATAGCCATCAAGTGGCAGTGATGGGACTGACATTCAGCTGGTCTGACCCCAGCCTGGGTTTGGCTGCCTGCGTGTTAAAACAGAGACTACATCTGTCCAGATGTCCTCCCACCACCCACCCGAGCGCAGCCCCAGCCAGTGTGTCTGGAGGGTGTGTGGTCATTGCCAGGAGCGGCTCCGCATTTGGAGAGTCGGCTCTGTGTGGCCTGGACGAGCCCAGAGAGCAACAGGGCCCAGTCGTGAGGCTTTGAAGCAGAACAGAGCCTGGGAACCCTGGCCTCGGGGCTGGTCTCCTTAGGAAGCCACCCGTCTGCGCAGGGCGTCTGAGGACAGTTCTCCCTCAGCATCCCCAGGCAGAAGCTTGGCAGAGGAAACGTTCCTCCACCCACTTGGTTTCCTAGCCCACGACGGCTCTTCCAGCTGGCCGTTCATTCAGTTATTCATTCAGCAAATGATTACCGAGCACCAGCTCTCCACCCTGCTGAGGACCAGGTACTGGAGGAAGYGGGAAATGAAGGTGATCAGTAAGAGAGAGAAGAAGCTGACACTGAAAGAGTAGGTCAGGGCTGGGGCTGAGGCTCAGTGGCAGAGCGCTTGCCTGGCATGCGTGAGGCACTGGGTTCGATTCTCAGCRCCACATAAAAATAAATAAATAAAATCAAGGTCCATCAACAACTAAAAAAAAAAAAAAAGTAAATCAAGGTAGAAGGTCATGAGGGCCATGGGAAAAGCCACAGGGAGAGACCACCCCCAGATTTGGTAGGAGTGCAAGAGGCAAGTGCATTAAAGCAAGTTTCCAGGAGGTGGAGCTGGACTTTGAGGGAAGGGTAGGATTGAAAATGTATAGCTAAAGGAAAGGGCTCCAGGTAGTGGGAACAGCATGTGCAAAGGCCCGGAGATAGGGAGATGGTGATGTATAGCAATAAGGGAGCCATTCTGGAGGCAGAGGGCAGGGAAAGGGTGGGAGATGAACTGGGTGGAGAGCCAGGATGCAGGATGGTTGGTAGGTGGGCCAGCTGACTGTGCTGGGGCATGCTACAACAGTTGCAGTCCAGTCCCTYCAAAGTGAAGGGACAGAGATAGGTCCCAGACGTCCCAGGAGAGTCTTRACCTCGTGCTGTGGATGGCTGGATGCACGCCTCTCGCTCCCGCTGCCTTATGTGAGCTTGCCTTACATGCTCCAGCGGTCATCTCCAACAGCCAACAGACCTCAGAGCCTCAGGGCTGGAAGGGAATTTACAAAGCATCCATCCCGTGATTTTAAAAAAAGAAAAAATCTTTATTCTTTTCCAAATCACAGAATCCCCAAGCAGAAAACGGACTGCTCTAGTTAAAGCGGGGGGGGGGGGGCTTCCCATTCAATCTCCCCGTGGCTCCCCACTGGGAAATCTAGAACTCAAGGAGTGTGGGTTGAAAACCACTGGTCTAGCCCACTCCCATCTCATTCCACAGGGAGGAAGGAAAGCCAGGAGGAGACACAGGGGCGCCAGGTCCCCTGATTGCTACTTTGGGGGTCTTTTCTGCCCTGTGTCTAGGTTGGAGGAGAAAGCCCGAGAGCAATCAAGGATGGGATGTGCGTGGCTCCCCTACACCCCTCCCTGTGGCCTGCCGGCTTGTCTCACTGCAGCCCCCTGGAGGAGCGCTGTGGGGCCAGGTTCTCTTTCCACTCTACACAATAAGAATGGAGACGTGGCCAGCAAAATGACTTACAGACATTTTAATTCCAGGCCTGGTGAGTGTAGCTTGAGTGAGGGAGGGAGAGGCCGGGTGTGCGTGCATGCACGCATGTCTGTGTTGGAGGCTGCAGAGGAGAAAAGTGAAGTAGTAGGGGCAGAGGCTGGGCACGGGTTTGTGAGTTATGGTGATGATTTGGGGTACTGAGCCACACCTCCAGCCCTATTTTGTATTTTATGTAGAGACAGGGTCTCACTGAGTTGCTTAGCGCCTCACCTTTGCTGAGGCTGGCTTTGAACTTGTGATCCTCCTACCTCAGCCTCCCAAGCCTCTGGGATTATAGGCATATGCCATTGTGCCCAGCAATTCTGTGAATGATTATCAGCAACTACCCATTTAATCTACACACTTCATTCAAGAAAGTGAGACCCCGCAGAGAGGACTTGGGGGCCTAGCATGGTGCTTGCTGCAGGGCAGRTGCTTTAGTAAATACGGGCTGCGTGCATCTGCATGGGCCTCTTGGCCAATCCAAGAGGCTGCCTTGCAGCCCGTGGTCCTCTCCAGGTCTGACACCTTACTTCTCCTTCTGCAAGTGGGGAAAACATCAGAAAAGCCTCGGCAAAACCCCAAGGGAAGCAATGGGCATCCTTGCCAAGTGGGTCCTTGTTACCCCCGATGTAGTCAGCCCCTGCTTTCCTCTTCAAAGCCCCCTGACCCTGAGAGGGTTCCACTGGAGTGAGGTGACAGTGGTACCCTCTGTCCTGGCAGCTCCGGGAAACAGAATCATTCTGATCACTGGTGATGGCAGAGGCCACCCGTGTGGTTCACCCTGGGCTCAGCGCCCAGCTCAGCACAGGAATAAAGAAGATATCCAAGCTCAAGATTCACTCCATCACAAAGGTCTGCACAGATTTCTCCAGTCCTCTCAAAAGAAAACTGGGCTGCCAACCCTCCTCCATAAGCCTCCTCTCATTCCTGAAGGGACACACAGTCTATACTACATATTGTGACTTACTCATGAAACGTCTTGAAAATACATGGCTCATGAGAAGCCCTCACTCAGCTCAGTGCCCCCTCCTGCCAAATGTCCCAGAGACACTTGCGTCTGAGTGCCCAGTGGACAGACGTTGTGGGAAGCCGAGACGAGGAGGCTCCTCCAGGGCTTGGCTCAATGGTTTTCAGACGCAGCATATGCCTCTCCCCTGACATTAAAGGAACAGCTTCCTGACAGCAGCCCCCACCCCAAACCCRGCAGCTGGCTCCAGCCAGCTACAGGAGCTACTTCCTGGGTCTTCTCCTGCTCTGCTGGGTCCTGAGGACCACCTCACCCCCTGCGGCCTGGCATCAAACACAAGACAGGAGGGATGACAGGGCTGAAAAAGCAGATCCACTTTATTTACAATGATCGGTTGGTAACACAGATCTTTGGGCTTTTTTGTGGCCTTGTAGAGACACCTCCCTGTGTTGGGGTAGCACGCTCTCCTTCCTCAGCCTGCCATGTGAATCCAGCTGCAGTTAGGACTACTTGCCCAGAGCCTTGACTTGGGGCATCTCTCCTCCAGCATCTGCATCCCCACACACCAGCCAATGGTTCTTCTTACCTCCTTTGGAGGCCCCATCTTTGGTCCTGGCTGTTGGCACCTAGTGGGGGACCTTACTTATCTGTCTGTAGATGGAGTGCGGAATCCTTAGGGGTGCCAAGGCACAAGCTCTGGCAGCTGCTTGGTGCAGAGCTGTTACCAGCCCAGTCTGTCTTCTCCAGAGGCAGAGCAGTGAAGTCCCAGGAGTCCTCCAAGGCATAGAGAGGCCCCACACAAGGCAGAGAATTCTTCCACGTTAGTTTGACCTGCAGACGCTGTGCCCATTATGGGCCTGGCCTCAGTTTCCCCSAGTCACTCCATTCTTTCCCTACAAGAATGCCTCTCCAGGATGGTTCTTACCACGGGGGRAAAAGTCTAGAGGGACCCAGGGCAGGGCCACTGCCTCCACCCTGGTCAGGGTCCAAACCCACCATCCATGGTTTCTGAAAATTTCTCTCCCTTCTCCTGAGAGGATGTTTTGGCTGGAAGCAGGGAGGTCTGTGGGCACAGACTCGGTGTAAAGCGCAAGGGCAGTTCCCCAACGGAGGGCCCAGGAAACTCTGGGTTTGCAGGGAAGTGAACAAGCCCCCCCCCCCAATAACCCAGGGCATATCAGGTGTCACCCTGAGCCAGGATGAGGGGCKAGGCGACGACGAGACCACAAGGGCGGCAGGGCCAGGGACCAGCGGGGAGCCGAAGCGGGCAGGGCCAGGGTTGGAGGCAGTAAGTCTAGCGGCCCGGTCTGGGGCGGCGAGTCCTGTCCCTGGGCTCTCAGCGCGCCTGGCCCGCGCGCTCCCTGGGGCCGGCCTTCCAGCGGCGGGGCTGCGCGGGCGGCGGAGGCGCCGGGGCGCCCCGCAGGCTGCACGTCCTCAGCTCCCGGGCCAGGCTGAGCACCTCGGGCCGCTCGCGTTGGGGGGCTCCAGCCTCGCCCGACTCCGCGTCCTCCTCCTCCTCTTCGTCCTCCTCCTGGATGCTGCTGAGGCGCGGCGCCCCGCGGCCGCGCTCCGTCGGCGGCGGCCGGTAGGCGCACTTTGCGTTGAGCAGGCGGCGTAGTGGGGCGCGGGGCACCGAGGCGGCGGCGCCCCCTGCGCGGAGGTGCTGCTGGCGCACGTGGCGCGCGTCGCTTTGGCGTTGCAGCCGCTTGAAGTCGCTGAAGGCCGCCAGCGCGGTCTGGCGGAGCAGGCGGGCCAGGGCGCGCGCCTTGTGCGCCCGCGCCAGCAGCACGGCGTGGCAGCGCAGTACCACGGCCTTGTGGCGCGCCTGGTGGCGGTAGACCCAGGCGAAGACACGCGGGTGGCGCCCGTCCGCCGTGCAATAGGTGATGCGCGGCAGCAGGTAGGCGTGCGTCGGCCTGCGGCCCCCCGATCCCCCTGCGGCGCTGCGCTCGCACGGCTGCATGCGGATGCCGTGCGGCCCCAGCGTCAGCTTCATCTTGGTGCCCCCGCCTGGCCCGCAGCGCGCCCAGATCTTGCCCACCGCGTCGTCTGTGCAGCCGTCGCCCTTGGCGTGCAGGGTGACGGCGTTACCCAGGTACCACACCGTATAGGTCGGGTCCTCCCTGTTGAGCTCCACTTTCTGGCGCCGGCTGCGGAACACGCGGCCCAGGCGCTCCAGCGGCCAGTCGGGCAGCAGGTCCGGGCAGGAGCGCAGGAAGCTGGAGAGGAGAGACGTGTAGGCGAGCCCCGGGCTCAGGCTCTTCGTTTTGCACTTGGCCTCGTCCTCCACCAGCACGAATTTGTTTCGCCTCCAGGGCAGCATCGCGGCGCAGGGGGCTGGAGGCGCAGGGAGCTCACCAGCGTCCTGTCCAGCGACCCAGGGAAGGAAAAGCGCCCAGAAACCCACCGCCCTGTAGTCGCGAAAAGCTGGGCGGCGCCAGAGACAGCCGGTGCCCAAGATGCCCAGTGCCAGGCGGGGCTAGTTTCGCAGATGCCCGTTACCCAGCCGGGCTGGCCGCGGAGATGCCCGGGCGGCGGCGTGCGGCCGGGAATAGMGTCCCCCGGGAATGGCTCCAGCCGTCTGGGAAGCAAGGAGGGGCAGGGACTGGGATTGGCGGACGCCCCCCAGGCCCGAATAAGAGGGGATTCCCGTGGTCCCTGCCGCCCAAATTGCGGCGGCAAGGGAGGTCGCCGGTGCCGGGGATGGCAGCTGCTCGGTGGGGTAGACCTAGAGCGCGGCTGCGGTGGGGACTCCTTCAGGCGTCGCGGCTCCACCTCCCCGGGCTGCCTACATCACCGGGCGGGACCGCTAGCTCTCTTGTCCCCTCCCCTCGCCCTCCTCTTTCCCTTCCCCCAGCTCAAGCTCGCGCTGCCCGGGACCCGGCACAGGCGCGGCAGAAAGGGTTTAATTATTATTATGAGAGGGGTGAGGACGGAGGGGCGGTAAAGGATTAGGAATCCCTGGATATGCTATGGATGACTTTGCCGATGCAAATTCTCTGGCCTCTCTAGTGGGATCCTTGCCCCCTCCCCCCGTGGCATATTCGGAGACCCGCTCTTTCTAGAATTCCTCCTGCTCTCACCCACAGCAGGTCCCTATCCCTATCCCTGAGAATAGGATTTGGGTGGCTTTCTGATGGGATGGGTTCCTGATGGGGCCTGCCTTGTGCACTTTACCTCCGGTCTGCACAGCACAAAGCCAGCAGAGGTGGCCGAGCAGTGCAGTGGAAAAGTACTGTCGCTTGGTGAAGCTTTCTCCCAGGTTCCTCCAAGGTCGTGGGCCAGGCTGCTGTACCGGAGTAGAGGCCGTCACTGCTCCAGCATCTGGTCGCCTGGACAGAAGCAGGGAAGGTGTACTCTTTCAGGGTGAGGGGAACCTTTCAGAACAATCCTGGGTCTGTGGGACTGGCAGATGAAATGTTCCCTCTGGTCAAAGTGCAGCCTCTGGGCTCTCTGAAGATTAAATAGATAAACTCCTATTTGTGGACTCCTTATTTATTCCCAGGTGTTTAGCATTCATTATCTCATTTAATTCTCAGGACACCAAGGCTCAGTTAGTTGATTGGCCCAAGGTCACAGGGCTGGTAGTAAGTAGATCAAAGGCTCCATCTAGGCCCTGGGGACCCAAGAGCAGGCTCCCACCCTTCTATGAGTCCACCATATAGATGGGACATTGGCCATCTTCCCCTGGAACTCCCTAAGGGAAAGCGGTTGGCTCTTACTAGGGAGGGGCTCTAGTGTACTAAAAGACAGCTAGCTATCTCTGGGTGTTGGGACACTTTCCCCACTTCCAGAATTTGTTAAGCCACAAGCTCCCTAGAATCCCAGGACTGGTCCGATGTGGGCTCCGTCATCCCATTGCCTTGTGGTCCCATGCAGTCAACACTCAAGCTCCTACTCTGGCTTCTGGACAGGTCAACTTGGATGTCCTCCAGGTTAGAAGTGAGCCCAGGTCTGGACATGGACTGAATTCAGAGCAAGCCAAACCCAGAGAAATCTGAGAGTGGGGGCAGTGACTAGATTGGTCGATCGTCCTGTGCCTGCAGGCAGGAGTGGTGAGTGGCTGGGCTCAGAACCCCCTCCCCCCAAAACACACACCCAGGGGAATAAAAGTAAAAGGACAAACCACTATGGGGCTGCTGAGTGCTTCCAAAAGGAGGAGCAAATAAAGAACCAGAAATGACATGCTTTGGAGGCTGCCCCACGGAAGATCTGGTCCAAGGCAGACTCATTTCATCTTTAGCACGGTCACGTCTTCATTGCCTKCTGCTGATTATAAACGTAATACACGCTTGTGGTAAAAATTCATATAAAGACAGAAAAGTCTTCCACGGTTCCCAAGATGTGACCTGACTTCCCAGGAAGGGTACAGGCTCAGCAAAGCTGGGCGTCATGGAAGTGCTTCTCAGGGTACCCGAGCTGCCTCTTGGACCCATGGAGACATTCACCCAACCAAAACCTTTCAGGGAAAAGACTTCATGTAGTTTTGACCTGAGAGTCCGCTCATTGAAAAATTCTGCCTCATCCTGCCTGGGGTCTCCTAGGCCCTCCTTCCTGACCTTGCCACTGGGAGTTTTGTCCCTGCAATGGCCAGAGGCTGGTGGCAGTGTCCAGAGGCAAAGTCACCAAGCTTTTGCCCAGAGGATGGTGTTACCTCTTTAGAGTTGCTAGAGTTAATTGTTATGACAATTCAAAATAAATAAATAAATAAATAAAGGTAGAGCAGGACCCATCGGCTTGGGAGGCTGAGACAGGAGGATCAGGAGTTCAAAGCCAGCCTCAGCAATTTAGGCTTTAAACAATTTAGTGAGACTTTGTCTCTAAAAAAAATGCAAAGTAGGGCTGGGAATGTGGCTCAGAGGTCGAGTGCCCCAGAGTTCAGTCCTCCTACCAAAATAAATAAATAAGCAATAAACAAACAAACAAAACCACATGGTATACGTATGTCCTGAGAATGGCCTGTATTTAATCTGGCAACCCTAACCCTCCTCCCTACCAGAGGACTAGAGAGGGAATGTGCAGCTGTGCACTGTACATGGAATCCCTGCTTTCTCCCTCTCTCTCCCTAGTTGGTCCTAAGGTCATTAATCCTGGGATGTGGCTTCTGTTTCTATTGGTTTTTGGAAGAAACCTCTGGGTGGGGTGTCATTGAAAACCCAGGAGGTGACAAGGGCTGTAGTCTGTTTTTAGGTTAAGACCCCTTGACCAAAAAAGCAGCATTTGACATTGCTGATGTTAATTAATCTTTCTCTTYTCTCCTTCCCAAAGGTGGCCTTGAATTTGCTGGCCTTCTGTCTGGGCCTGGGGATTTGGGGCCTCCCCTCTAATCACTTTGCTCCTATCTGTTGCTTCTTTGATACATTGTTAACGACTCCTCTGGCCCCCTGGGCCTGTGTTCTCTCCTCCCCATCCTCAGTTGGCTGCATCCTCCTGGACCCCTCACTCTGCTGAACTTGATCTTGAATAGTCTGCTCTTCTTTTCCTAAACCTATTCCCTTATAGGGCTCAGCCGCCCTTGGGACTACCATCCTTTGTATTGGATGGTTAAAAAAACTGGCCTGGCCACGGGAAGGGGGTGGGCTTCCATCTCCTTTGTTAAGCTTTCCCTCAGTGCATCCACCGGAAAAGCTTGCACAAGGTATCACTACTTCATAGACCAGTATGCAATTAGATTTTCTTTTCTTTTTTCAGTTTGTTTTCTTTCTTTTTTCCCTTGGTACTGGGGATTGAACCCAGGGGTGCTTTACCACTGAGCCACATCCCCAGCCTTTCTTATTTTTTATTTTGAGACAGGATCTTGCTAAATGGCTTAGGACCTCCCTAAATTGCTGAGACTGACTGGCCTTGAATTTGTGATCCTTCTGCCTCTGCCTGCTGAGCTGCTGGGATTATGGCTGTGCCCCACCACACCCAGCCAGATTTTCCAGTTTTAAAATCTTTGCTTATTGCCTCCCTGTTACAATAGGTGATGGTGATTGCTCTTTTGTCTACCCTCCATCACACATATTTTTCTTCCTCCCTCCTTCCTAGTTTAGTTAGAACATTTTATTGTTTTTGTTGAAACAGTGTTCAGCGCTTAATGATCATGACTAAGTATATAGTGTGTGTCACAATTGTTTCCCTTATTGGATGACTTTTCCTTTCCAGAAGTTACTAATTGCCTCATTTTTTTAAACAAAACTTTCTTAGGTACCTATCACTAATTCATCCTCCAGTTCTCCAACAGAACCTGGGTTTGATCCCAGCCTTGCAAAATGAATAAATAAAGATAAAAAGTCAAATGACATTCTGATGCCTGATCTTATATGAATGACATGGCTTTTCTCCCTGGAAGTTTCTAGGTTCTTCTAGAGCTCTCAARTTTCCTAGTGATGTATGTTGAGTATGGGCCCTTGGTGGGCCCTTTAATCGGGATATCAATTTCTTTTTTTTTTTTTTGGGGGGGGGGAATATCAATTTCTTTTAGTCTTGGAAATCAGTTTTGCRGGGGATCTCTTTGTGCCTATTTCCTCCACCCCATCTTCTCTTTTCTGTTTTTTCCTTTCAGATCTATTTTAGGTGGATATCTTGAATTCATCTTCCAGTTTTTCTAAAATGTTCTTTCTAATTTTCCATTTTAAAAAGTTTGTTCTATTTTCTGGGACATTACCTCAACTTTGTCTTCCAGATTTTCTATTAGATTTGTGCTGGGGATAAAACCCCGGGCCTCAGCTTGCAAGGGTCTGACACTGAGCTATTTCCTTGGCCCACATCTTTTTTTATTTAAAGCACCCMCACACACACACACACACACTAGGGATTGAACCCAAGGGCGCTGAGCCACATTCCCCACCCCTTTTTATATTTTTATTTAGAGACAGGRTCTCACTGAGTTGCTTAGGGCCTCACTAAGTTGCTGAAGCTGGCTTTGAACTTGAGTTCCTCCTGCCTCAGCCTCCCAAGCCACTGAGATTACAGGCATGTGCCACCATGCCCAGCAAAAATTTCTTTATATGACAAAAATTTTTCATTTCTAAAATCAATTTCTTATTATTTTTGTTGCTGCCAATACTTATTTCATGGACTTACTCTAATGTCTCTGAGAATATTAATTATAATTTAATTGAGGTGAGATACATATAACATATAATTTTTTTTGACACTGGGGATTGAACCCAGGGATGCTTTACCACTGAGCCACATCCCCAGGCTTTTTATTTTATTTTGAGACAGAGTCTTGCTAAATTGCCAAAGCTGGCCTTGAACTTGTAATCTTTCTGCCTCAGCCTCCTTTGTTACTGGGATTACAGGTCTGTGCCACCATGTGTGGCTTTTTGCTGTTTTTAAGTATGTATCTTAATGCGGCTAAATACATTCACTTTATTGTGCAACCAACTTTTTCATCTTGTAAACTGAAACTTTATGCCCATTAAACAAAAATTTCTCATTTTTCTGTCTCTGTAACCCTTAGCAACCACCATTTGATTTTTATTTCTATGAATTTAACTACTCTAGATAGTTCATATAAATCATACARTATTTATCTTTTTTTAAAAAAAATAAATTTTAAGACAGAGTCTTGCTAAGTTGCTTAGGGCCTTGATAARTTACTGAGGCTGGCCTTAAACTTATGATCCTCCTGCCTCAGCCTCCCAAGTTGCTAGGATTATAGGCCATTGTGCCTGGCCATATTTATCTTTTTATGACTAGCATATTTCACTTAGCATGATGTCCTCAAGTTTCATCCATATTGTAGGATGTGTTGTCAGAATTGCCTTCCTTTTTAAGGCTGAATAATATTCCCTGTCTATGTATACCACATTTTGTTTGTCTGTTCATCTGTTGATGGACCCTTGGTTCCTTCCACTTTTTGGCTTTTG